ACAAAATTGAATTGACATATTTACAATTACAAATCAATTAGTGATTATGGTAGTTGCTATTTTTCAAATGAAACTTGTAGTAATAAGTCTATATATTATACTTGTTTAATTCCATGTTTGATTCTAATTTATTGATTAGAGTTTAGGTTGTTTGATTAACCATGTACTAATTTATTTATTTATTTATTAGAGTTTAGGTTGTTTGATTTACCATGTAGAATTACAAATACTAATTTATTTATTAGAGTTTTAAATTTTATTTTATTTGTTTGAAGAACATTGTTTATTCTTATTTGTTTTATTTGATTATTATTTTTTTAAATTTTGAAACTACAATTTTGTAATTATTTTATCTTTTGTTTAGAGATGAGGAGATTTTTGGTTGCTAGAGAAAATATTGAGAATATGAATATTGTGCAACCAGAAGTCGAATTAAAACCACTATCTAATGTGGTTAATGAGTTTAATCCAAATGAGATTGTGCGTGGTCCAGGTCGTAGGAAACAAATTAATGAGTATGCTCCAGATATTCAAGACCAAGTGAGGAGGGTATATATATTGAAGAGTCCAATGCAATCAGATTTGCCAAGTTTTCCTTGTACTCCTTTTGAGAGTATTAAAAGATTATTTAGTAAATTATGGTATAAGAATTATACATGGTTAGAATACAGTGAGATGAAGAATGCAGCTTATTTTTTTCATTGCTTTCTCTTTAAGCAATCCGGGAGGGCCGAGCACTTTAGTTTTGAAGACTTCACTAAAAGCGGATATAGAGATTGAGAGCATGCATCTCAAGGCTTGAAAGGTCACGATGGTAGTCATAATAGTTTGCATAAGTCATGTGTCAAGCACTACGATGATTATAATAATCAAACACAGAGTGTGACATGTAAGTTTGCTAAAGCAACCAAGGATTCAGAAAAATTGTATAAGATTTGTTTAACTTGTTCTGTAGATTGTTCAAAATATCTCATAGCACAAGGCATGGCTTTCCGTGGCCATGATGAATCCTCTATTTCTCTAAGTAAGGGTAATTTTAGAGAGATGGTAGATTGAGTATTATTTCATAATGAACAAGTGAGGGATGCTTTTGACCGTGGTGGAAAAAATTGCACAATGACTTCTGATGACATTCAAAAGGAGCTTGCAACGTGTTGTGTACATGAAGTTGTCAAGGTAATTATGGAAGAACTTGGTGATAGATGATTTCCAGTGCTTATTGATGAGTCACATGATATATCCGTCAAAGAGCAAATGGCAGTGATGTTGAGATTAGTAGTTATATTTTCCAATTTTCATTACCTATTATTTTTTATGCCGACAAGTAAATTTATTGAATTTATTTTAGGTTGTTGAATGACAAATGGAATATTTCAGAACGATTTATTGCTCTACATCATATCCAAGATACTACATTAGAGTCATTAAAGAATTCTCTTTATGGTATTCTTGATAAGTGGGCGTTATCGATTTCAAGGATACGAGGGCAAGGATATGATGGAGCTTCAAATATGAGAGGTTAATTTGATGGTTTGCAAAGAAAAATTCTAGATGAAAACACTTATGATTTCTATGTTTATTGTTATGCTCACCGTTTGCAATTAGTTGTTATGTCTATTGCTAGTAGTTGCTCATTTATTCATGATTTCTTTGAGTACATCTCCTTGATTGTGACAACAACAAGTGCATCTTGTGAGAGGCGGGATGCTTTGACGGAGGTACAACACCAAGATATTTTAAATAAACTTGAGAGTGGTGAGATATCTAGAGGAAAGGACTTGCACCAATCATCTAGTCTCAATAGACTCGGGAATGGGGTTCACATCATACTACATTGCTTCGTTTGGATCATATGTGGTCCTCCATGTTAAAGGTTCTTAGTATGGTTGATGAAGATGGACGTGGACCATCTCAAGCAGCGAGTTTGATAGAAAAAATAGAGAGCTTTAAATTTGCTTACATTTTGAAGTTAATGTTAAAGTTGTTTGATATCACAAACGAGCTTTCAAATATCTTGCAAAAAAAAGATCTTAATATTGTGATTGTCATGGAATTAGTTGATGATGTCAAAGCTAGGTTGGCCACAACGAGAGAGAGTGGTTGGGATATTCCGATGTCCAAGATTTTTGTGTTGCTAAAGGTATTCTGGTTCCAAATATGGATGACGAAATACCGGTTCAGGGTCGTTCAAGGGTAGAAGGGAGGACTATCACTAATCTTCATCATTACCGTGCAGAGATTTCTTATGTTGCTATTGACAAAATATGTGTGGAGATTGATCATCATTTAAGTGAAGGAAGTAACATTATCCTTAATTACTTCTCATGTCTTGACCCCAAGAACTCTTTCTCCAAGTTTAATATTGATAAGCTTGCTCGTCTTGCTGATATTTATCATGCAGACTTTTCTGATGATGACCGGGGAATAATAAGGAATCAACTTGACACTTATGTTCTTTAAGTGAGAAGAAATACTTCATTTTACACTTGTGAAGATGTTCAAAGTTTGGGTATGAAGATGGTTCAAACTGAGAAACATTTGATATTTTCATTGGTTTATAAATTTATTGAGTTAGCTTTGATATTGCTGGTGTCGACAACATCCATTGAAAGAGCTTTTTCAGCAATGAAGATTATCAAGTCTAAATTGCACAATAAGATCAACGATGTTTGGTTCAATGACTTGATGGTATGTTACACTGAGCGGAAGATATTCAAGTCACTTGATGATATTGATATTATTCTAACATTTACCGTAAAAAGGTTTCGAAAAGGACATTTGTCTCGTGATTTTATTTAACCCGTTATTGTAAAGTTATGTTTATCTCTTTTATTTTAAACTATATTTTTATTGACAAAATGACGAGTCTCTTTTATTTTGATTGATAACTATTTATATATTATATATAATGTGAATTTGCGGTTTTTAATTTTTTACTCGGGCTTTATAATTTTTCTGACTCCGTCACTGCATATTTGGTTGTATAAATCTCTATTATTTTCTGTATCCATATATTTGGTCGTATAAATCTCTAATAACTAATTTGAATTAAAAAAGTGATATTGATTATCGTTGTTGTGGTTGATGTGATGAGAGATACTAATTACAAATTCTAATTGTCTATTAATTTTAGTGTTTATATAAGATACACCAACAATAACTTGTGAATTGGGTCTTATTGGTCCAATGAAATGGGCTTAGACCTAAAAATTTAACTTCACAATTTTAATTATTTAATATTTAAAAAAACTTAATAAAAATAATTAGTTATTAATTCTAATAAAAATGATTATTTATTAACTAATTATAAAAAATAATAAATATTAAATTATCTTACTTATCAATAATAACACATCATTAAAAATATTTTTTTGTCTTAATCATTAAAAATTGAAAAAGATCAACAAAATCTTAAGTGATATAAAGTTTATAGATCAACAAACTGATTTTTAAAATAGAGACATTAAATTAGAAAATCAAAAATATATTTAAGCCAAAAATGATTATTCTAATAAAAAGTATTAAAAAATAAATTATCTTAGTCGGCTATTTTTTGTAATTAAAAATTAATTAGATATTTCACATAATTAAAAATAATTTTTAAATCTGAGTCATCATTGTCACATAAACAAAATAAACAAAATTAGAGGAGAACACAAAAAATCTAAACGTTATCAAAATTAAGAGATTAGAATAACAGATTTTGCAATAGAGAGATTAATTATTTAAAACCCTCCAACTAAAGAGAAAAAAATGCATTTAAGTCAATTAATTTTTAATAATAAAACAAAATTAATTAATAAAATATAAAATATTAATTAATAAAATTATAAAGTTAATTAATTACACAATATATATATATATATATATATATATATATATATATATATATATATATATATATATATATATATATATATATATATATATATATATATATATATATATATATATATATATATATATATATATATATATATATTAAAAATTATTTATCATTATAATATTTTACTGTAATATAGAAATTCGGAATATCATTTCTTTTGTTATATATATTAATCACCAACTAAATTTTATTATATACATTTGAATAGTGTTAACCATTTAATGTCTTAATCACAAAATTTTGACAAATAAGATACAAATCATGCAATTTGATAAGATGCACCAAAATATAAGTAAATGTCAATCATCGTGACTATAATACGAGACAGTGATAAGTCTCTTAAGATTGTTGATGGACTAATTACAATTTAAGGAAAATTTGACCTTGAGCTGCTATGATTAAAAAGGCCTCAAAACAGTTTAATGACTATTTTTCTTACTAAGTCTATTTGAGTTTAGAATAATAATCCTTACCATTAATTATAATTCCGTTAACAATTGTATTGTGATGAGTGACAAGTGCCATAATCTCTAACTTTGATAATCAAGTCTATCATTATAAAGGCATATGTAACTGAATAATTATGAAAGAAAAATCTTCTAATACAATTTTTTAGATTGTCAATTTAGTTTTATAGATTCTTACACTCAATTCTAATAGCTCCAGAATCCTAACAGACAACTTAAAAGAGACTTGTGCCAACAAAGCTCCATAACAGGGCTGTGATATTAAGTTTAAATAATTACACCATTCTCATATATCTAAAGATCCTAAAAATAAACTAAAAAACAATGAAGATAAGTCAACAAAAGGAATTTGATACCTTAAAATAAAATACAATTTAAAAGAAAAATAGAAAATAACTTTGATAAAAATATAGCAATAATAATATGATAAAATAAATGCTAGAATCTACCCATCTAATTTTCTCAATTAAAGGTCTCATCATAGACTACTGGAATTTAACTATTTCACTTTTTAAATTGAAATTTTACAAATTCAAACTCGCATTCAATTTCTTGTATAACTATCAACTAAATTGACTTAACAAAATAATTTATATTTCTCTTCATAAACTTCTCTTGTTTGAGAAGAAGAGAAATGAAAGAGATTAAAAAGAATAAGTCCCGCAACTTTTATATTTCTCTTCGTAATTATATTTATCTTCAACTACGAAGAGAAAGTGAGAAAAAACAAATTAATAAAAGAAAATGACTATTTTGCCAAATATAAACATATATTTTTTAAAGTGTTATATCATAAAGACCTTATTGTATTTTTAAAAATATACAACACTTCTCTCTTTCTTCTAAACCAAACAATATCTCAAATCTTGTTTATTTCATCTTGTTTATTTCTTATATTTGTCTATCTTCATATACTCTCTCTTATCTATTTCTCTCTTGATCTGAACACATTATTATATGGGTGTACCAAGCGGCAAATAACGTCAACTTTAAAACCTCTTTAAGTCTAAAAGAAATGAGTGACGAGCCCAATCATAGGGTCCAAACAAAACGTGGACTAGACAGATGCGTACGATAGCACATGCATGTAAAGACCCCCACATATCCTAGACACAGCATTAAAAGATAAATTTGTATTATTATAGCATGCTTAAAGGAGAAGGGATTTTCTGCACACAATAATTCCATCCCATGTGGGAAGTTGGCACACATACAAGCTGGAGCATACAATCACAGTTGTATTAGACGGAAAATTCATTTCTGCCTACAGGCTAATAATTATTATTGTGCTATGTTCACAAGGAAATTTGCATCTTTAGATGGGCCAAGATAAAAGAATAATAATATACATGCCTAGCCATTTTGATCAAACAATTAAATATTGAAGAAAGCCAGCGCCTAGCACTAGAGCAACCAGAAAATAAATGAAATTTGGAGGTGCAGAGAGAGATAGAGAGAGCAGAGCAGGAGCTAATTACAATGAGATTTATGGTACTTTTCACCCCTTTTACCCACCATAGCAACACAAATTAGAAGGTATAAGACATGTATATAAGACATGTAGACTGGACAAACACAAGCAAAACTCTTCTGAGGTCAGAACCAGTTTAATAATAGAATGGAAACTGATGTGAATGTGACTCCAACCATGAACCATTCAAGAACCTTAGGTGCTACCTGCTGGCACCTGATTCGCAAAATCAAAGTTGTTCACAGGTTTTGGCCTCCACTTAGTCCTAGCCCTCACAATTTCAGCACCATCTTCAAGTCGAAGCAAATGCTTGCACTCAATGTGACCGCTTTGAGCTAGATTGCCAGCACCAGCATCAGATACAGCAGTTAAGGACTGGAGCACACTGTCCTTGCCGCACTCCCTCCTGTACTCCATAGTCATACCACAAAGCTCATGACTCTCCAAGATTGCCTGTGGAGCACTCTGCAAAAATTGAAGCACAGCATTTGATTAAGAGTCCTGATCTGATCAACCCATCGCATGACAAACTAAATATACTTTTTATCTCCAAGAATCAACATGAACTATAGTTACCGAGAAATAAAAGTGATTTACAAAACATCAAACATGACACTGTTTTAAAGCTACTGTTTTCTGCTACATTGCCAACAACCACTATGGCGAATCAAATACTTCATCTTTGACTTGAGGAGATATCAAGTTGGCCTCATTGTTGAGGTGGGTGAATGAAGGAGAGAAGTGACGAGGATTTGTTCCCCCATTCCAAATATAACAATACTAACTATACTAACATTTGTCATTCAAGAAAGAATTTATCTTAGACTTCAATTATTATATCAATTATTTTCATCAGTCGAGTAATGATACTAGAGTGAGTTCAATCCCCATCCCTAACATAATACTCACCGTTCTAACATTTGTTAAAAAAAGAACTTCATCTTAGACTGTCCTACCAAATCAATCATTTCCGTTAGCCTCGCAAGAGCACGCCCTTACTTTACAGACAGTTAATTGGATAAACTTTTACAGATCCAACAGACAAAGAGTAGGGTCCTTTGGTGAGGTCAGCCCGCAAAAGGCCTTAAAAATGATGATTCTTACTAGCAATCCGTCCAGAAATTTGATTTGGTTTTCGACATTTCTAAGTAGTCGCGTGAGATGTTTGCCCATGAAGAAAAAGTGAAAAGAGAAAACAATAATTGGAGTTGATAAGACTACAAGAACAGAAAACTACCTCCAGAATCCAGCCAATGTACTTGACATTGTTAACATGCTGATTGACATCTAGATCACTCCATCTAGGCTGAAAATAGAGACACAATATGTAATCTAATTAGGAAACAGCATCTGGGGTGAGTTGACAAAATAAATCAATGATAGCAATAACGACAAGAGTGCGCATACACTTAAACCCGAGCGGATATAATCCGCTGTACTGTCATCAAGTTTATTGAGTTTTCTGTCATCCTCTTCCAGAATTGGAGCAGATTCCACAAAAAATGATCCTATCTCCTCTCTAACTTCTTCTGGAATTTTTGACAGCTTTCTGGTATGCTTATTCATCATGACCCAAACACTGTAGATCGTCAAAACCACCACCACAGATCAGACATGCTTAGATGTTACTACTTAAAAAGTCAGTAACTAAGTGCAAATTTTATGTATGATAAGACGATACAAGTCGTTATACAGATTTTCATGTGTCACATTATTGCTTTTGACTTTACTAAATTCAAATTGCAAAAACGATATTAATAAAATTCAGCTTTGATAAATTTGTATATTTCTAGAAAATAATTGTTCTCATGACTTATTAAAAATGTGAAAGATTCAAATTTGTATACAAGTATCCGTCATGCATTCAAATTGCAAAACCGATATTAATAAAATTCAGTTTTGATAAATTTGTATATTTCTAGAAAATAATTGTTCTCATGACTTATTAAAAATGTGAAAGATTCAAATTTGTATACAAGTATCCGTCATGCACGTTCAGAAAAACTTTTAAAACATGTTTATTACTGGCAGCAGAAGGAAGAGAGTGAAGAACTGCAGAAAATGATTTCTACCTAGAGGCTCTCGTCAAGACTTCGCCAGTATTATAGTCGCGTAAAAGCCAATCACGACGCATACCATTCTTGCCTGATGCAGACACCCAAGTTTCTACATGAACAACATCTCCCCTGAAAAAAATATAGACACTCAATGTAAACTGATCAGATTCAAAATATCTGTAATAATCCATATAACAGACTATTTAACTTCAATTGATGCAGATAAGCCAACGTTGAGGAACAAGATACATAAACCACAGAATAAATCCAGAAGGTTCATTAATGAACACGAGACGTTTAGAGTTAGCATTCCTCATAAAGATCAAAACAACCAACAGAAATGGCATCCTAGCAAGGATACATGTGAGAGTTACAAATGCAACAGGTGAGTGTGAGTGACTTACCACGTAGGATAACGATCAACAACAACTTGCATCCGCGCAACTACCCATATCAAGTTCTTTTTGCACATTTCAGGCGTAGAACCAAAGCCATCACCAAGAAGCCCCACAATCTTAACATGATTAAGTGCAGTTTCCTATTGTCAAACAAATAATTGAAATATATCATCTTGTATCAAAAGTGACTGCAATTATCAGTATCAGTGTATATATAAATACACCAAACGAACTTTTTATCTCCTAAGATTAAGAATAAAGTTTCAGTAGCGTACCTGTAAATGATTCATTATCGTGTCTATAGACGCAGTTCGATCCGCACCAATTTCATATGACCTAATAGAAAAGTTTTCACTGAACACAAGACCATCCTGAACGATTTTGCCTATACCAAAGGGGTCAATAAGCATGTCAGAACGTCTTGGCTTCCAGTCAAGCATCATCCACTGCTTCTCAGCAGCCAAGAAAATTGTAGTGATAGCAGCAAGAAGCATGCTCCAGTCAGGCAACTGGTTGATAAAAGTCCTCGAGGATTGCGACGAAGGCAAAAGATCCTCATACTTAAAGTTATCTACAGATGTAGAAACTTTCGTTCCATTAATCTTTGGAGGGGCTTGGGCATTTGCCTTTACTTGCAAGCCACCAAAAGACGCAGGTTTAGATTTAAGCCCACCGATATTCGCTTGCCCACCACCAAGTTTGTTACCACCAGAGTCCGGCAAGGAAGCAGTAACAGGGAAAAATGATGATGCAGCACCAGTGGCCACCATAATGAGTTTCTATTACCTAACAGAAGAAAAAGTTGCAGTGATTACCAAACAAAACAATTCCACTTCATCTAAAATGGCAAGTTTATTTTCTCACGTTTTCATAGAATTGAACAGAACAATTATAGAACCAAAAAAAAGTGATATAAAAATTTCAGATAATAAAACAAATCACCGAAAGAAAAATTAACGATCAACAACAACTCAATTGAAAAAGCCAGTGTAGATCTGAGTCGGAATCTAGAAAACACCGCAACACACAAGAAAAAGCTAAAAAGCAAACTCCAAAATAAGGGCAAAAACAAAATAACAACATTGCAATAGAAAACAAAAATCGCCACTCCAATGCATCGAAATCCACAGAAAACGCGATGCATCATTTCAATTCGAAACCATCTCTCGCTAATTTCAAAATTAAAAATAAAAAAACTGAAAATTACAATTAATACAGAAAACACGGTTAATTTGTTCATCATATTAGCGAGCTTCGATCTTCAAGGTTTAAGAAAAAAACTAATTAAAAAATCAATTCGAAAAACGCGTTATGCGGCGCATGATGATGCAGTGTAGATCAGAGGAAAAGATGAAGGAATGAAATGGAAGAGAGATTTGCGTACCGGAGAGAAGAAAAAGAGAAAACCGCTCAACAAACGAAAAGGAGAAGAGAAGAAGAACCAACAGAAGCTGTATAATCTGAGGAAGAAGAAAGAAGGGCTAATATGTAATTTCGGAGCCCGGGTTCTCTCTTCTCTTCTAGAGTTTTTCTTTTTTTTAATTTATGAAATATTTGAAAATTAAGAAAAAAGGAAGAAGGTGTATAATTGTATTTTTCTTATGGGAAAGAACGAAAATAATGGAAAATGTGGTGGGAGTGAGAGCGAATTGGTACTCCATCGACTTCAATATATAGTGTTGGTATAGTTCGTGTCTACCCCTAACTTGCGATTTCAAAAGTTTTTCCAGCTCGCTATCTTATAATTACTATCTTACCCCTCCTTTCATTTTTCTTTTTTTTAGGATCCTTCTCCGGTCCACGTATTATTATTTTATATATAAAATATTTAACTTTAAATATGGAATCTTCTAAAAATATGACTTGTCTAAGATTCTTTATATTTTTATCTGTATTAATTATTTTGAATACAATATTTTTGTTATTTTTCTCGGTCAATAATAAATATGTGTTTTTGACGCGTATTTGCTTATGTGGTAGATTAAATTTTCTGTATATAATTATTTTATACGTATTTGTCGTAATTAAATTTTCTGTATATGAATAAATTTTAATTAATTAATTAATTTTTATTAATTTTAATTTATTTATGTAATATTCTGAAATGAATACATATAAAAATTTAAACACTTCTAAATTAATATTGAACTTTCAAAATAAATTGATATTGAAGTATCAATCAGGATGTCTGTCTCATTTAAATATGTATGGCAAAAACAGAATGAATATTATATTAGATCATAAATTTATATTTTAGTCTATTTTGTAATAAAAAATAAATGTGATATGAACACGTAAACACTATATTTTTTTTAGTTTAAAAATTACAAAAATTTATTTAGTTTGTATTTGTGAAATCTCATAAAAATGAGATAAACATATTAGAGAGTGGAGATTTAAAATATAATTTATTTTTAAAAATGATTTTTTTTCATATTTTTAAAAATGAATTTTATAAAATTATTTTTAAAAATATTTTTTTTAATTAAAATTTAATTTTATTATTTTATAATATAAAAAATTTATACAAAATCTCAAACGCCGATAGAAATGGATCAAACCATCGTATTAAATTAAATAAAAATTTATAAATATATATCATATTTATTTTCCTTAAATTTTGCTTCTATAAATATATATTATTGAAAATTAAAATATAATCGAAGTCGTAATTTTTTCAAAAAATTATATTTTAAAAGTAATTTTTATCAAAATAATTTGAAATAACTTTAAAAATAAATTTTGTTAAAAATTTTAATATTTAAAATATTTTTTAAAAAATGATAAAATATCTAAAATAATATTTTCAAAATAAATATTCAAATTAAACAATTTTAATTAAAACTTTTATAAAAAAAATTTATACTTTTTTAAATAAAATTATATAACATTATAAAAAACTATTCTTAAAAAAAGACAAAATCCAGTTTTACCAAAACATTAAATTAAATTCCGTAAGAAGTGAAGTCTAAGGTGTGGACGGTAATTGCAAATCCTATAATTTAAAAGCAAAGAACGTAGGTGACCATAATGTAATGTGAGATTTTCTTGGTAGTCGCATCAAAATTTTTTTTTCTACAATCAACATCCAGTTTCTAGAAAAAGCAGAGAAAACCAATTCAAAATTTTCTTCGAATGTACAGTGACTACGTATTACGTAACATATCTAATAATTAGCAATTCGGTGAACTATATTTCCCTAGCCGTCATTAGATAGTGTATTTATTCAGTATTAGTTATACAAAATTACTTATGAGACGGAAAAGTATTTACTTTTATTTATTTCTCTAAGGGGAGTTTGTTTCAAATATTTATAAAAATATTTCATAAATAAATCATCTTAAAATAAAAATATGAAGATTTAATTTTAAAATATTTTTAAAATATTTTTAAAATATTGTGTTTGATGTATAATTTGAAATTTCTTGAAAAATAAATAATTATATATTTTTTGAAAAAATTATGTGAAGTTTCATAAGAATAAATATTTTCACCT